CCAAGGCCCCAGTGTTCCCAGAGTCACCAAACCCCAGAGGAAGAGCAGGGGTAAGCTAGTTCGCCCTGAAAAAAGACCCCAGCTGGGCCCCTGGAGGCTCCCCCTTGGTAGCTATGGGGTGCCGGTTGCTTATCTGTAGGCTGGTGCACTTTTCGGTTTTGTAGCCAGTCAGACCCCCCGGGGCTTCAGAGGGGTGGAGGCCACCGTCCCCGAGGTAGAGACACCCAAGTCCTGCTAGCACATCGGGCGGCCAGCTCGCCCTTCTGCTCAAGTTAGAGGCTGAGTTTGGTACTGAGCAAAACCGAGCACTGCCCCGCCTCCTGACGGCCTTCCTGCAGCAGCTCCGTGCTCCCCACTCTCCGGCCAGACTCACGGGTCTCCACAGGGAGGAGCCGGGTGTGTCCACAGCTGCCAGTGTCCGGCCGGCAGGCCGCAGACTAGCTTTCTGCCATGTGGCTCCGGGCTCCGTTGGATTGTGTTCTAGGCCAACGGAAAGGTGAGTACCTGCTTGAATCAGGCCATTTACGGAGAGCCACGGTCCTAGCCTCGCCACAGTCCGAGCCAGGATCACCCCACCAGACAGTGGAATCGTCTACACTGTCCGCCCGGTGCGTCCTCCCGGCTCCAGTCTGTTTCAGTGATGGTCTTGCTTGGGTGTGGCGTGGTCACCTCAGGCCCTGTGCACTGTGGCCGCTCAAGTCTCAGGCGCGGGTGCGCAGCCTTCCATCGGGCTTTGAGCAGTGCCGCTTCAGCCAGGTGGGAAGGACGCCGGGACAGCTAGTCGGCTGGTGTGGCACTGTGGCCATGTTTCTCCGCTGAGCCAGGAAACGTGTGAGGTATCTCTACATATGTCCTCTACAGGTGTCTCTACATATGTCCTCTACAGGTGTCTCTACATGTCCTCTACAGGTGTCTCTACATGTCCTCTACAGGTGTCTCTACATGTCCTCTACAGGTGTCTCTACATGTCCTCTACAGGTGTCTCTACATGTCCTCTACAGGTGTCTCTACATGTCCTCTACAGGTGTCTCTACATGTCCTCTACAGGTGTCTCTACATGTCCTCTACAGGTGTCTCTACATGTCCTCTACAGGTGTCTCTACACGTGTCCTCTACAGGTGTCTCTATACGTGTCCTCTACATGTGTCCTCTACAGGTGTCTCTACATGTCATGTGTCCTCTACAGGTGTCTCTATATGTCCTGTACAGGTGTCTCTACATATGTCCTGTATAGGTGTCCTGTACATGTGTCCTCTACAGGTGTCTCTACATTACATGTGTCCTACAGATGTCTCTACATATGTCCTGTACAGGTGTCTCTACATATGTCCTGTATATGTGTCCTGTACATGTGTCCTCTACAGGTGTCTCTACATTACATGTGTCCTCTACAGGTGTCTCTATATGTCCTGTACAGGTGTCTCTACATATGTCCTCTACAGGTGTCTCTACATGTCCTCTACAGTTGTCTTTACATGTCCTGTACAGGTGTCTCTACATGTCCTCTACAGGTGTCCTCCACAGGTGTTCTCTATATGTGTCCCTACAGGTGTCTCTACAGGTGTCCTCTACGGTGTCTCTACAGGTATCCTCTACAGGTGTCTTCTACATGTGTCCCTATATATGTCCTCTACAGGTATCTTCTACATGTGTCCCTACATATGTCCTCTACAGGTGTCTTCTACATGTGTCCCTACATATGTCCTCTACAGGTGTCCTTACAGGTGTCCTCCATAGGTGTCTCTACATATGTCCTCTACAGGTGTCTCTATAGGAGTCCTCTACAGGTGTCCTCTATGGGTGTCTCTACAGGTGTCCTCTATGGGTGTTTCTACAGGTGCCCTTGCAGGTGTCCTCACAGGTGCCCTCTATGGGTGTCCTCATGGGTGCCCTCTACAGGTGTCCTCCACAGGTGTCTCAGCAGGTGTCCTCCACAGGTGTCTCTACAGGTGCCCTCTACGGGTGTCTCTACAGGTGTCCTCTATGGGTGTCTCTACAGGTGTCCTCTACGGGTGTTTCTACAGGTGCCCTCACAGGTGCCCTCTACAGGTGTCCTCTATGGGTGTCCTCATGGGTGCCCTCTACAGGTGTCCTCCACAGGTGTCTCAGCAGGTGTCCTCCACAGGTGTCTCTACAGGTGCCCTCTACGGGTGTCTCTACAGGTGCCCTCTATGGGTGTCTCTACAGGTTCCCTCGCAGGTGTCCTCTACGGGTGTCTCTACAGGTGTCCTCGCCGATGTCCTCTATAGGTGTCTCTACAGGTGCCCTCGCAGGTGCCCTCTACAGGTGTCCGCAGACCCTGGAAATGTGTGAGACGCAGACCCAACCACAACTGGAGGCGGCTCTGTGATTCAACAGGCCCTCCAAGGGATTCTGGGACACATGGGTGACGGGGGTCCTGGCATCCTCAGAGAAAGACTGTCCCCCAGATACAGGCCCCAGGGGTTCGGTGGGGTGGGAGATGGGCATAGGTACCAATGTCTAGGGAATCCAGGGCTGCAGAGTGGCCCGGCCCATGGAGCTTGTGCCACGTTCCCTGGCTGGGTCCTGTCCTTCCAGCCCCCCTCTATATGTCCTGTACAGGTGTCTCTACATATGTCCTGTATATGTGTCCTGTACATGTGTCCTCTACAGGTGTCTCTACATTACATGTGTCCTCTACAGGTGTCTCTATATGTCCTGTACAGGTGTCTCTACATATGTCCTGTATATGTGTCCTGTACATGTGTCCTCTACAGGTGTCTCTACATTACATGTGTCCTCTACAGGTGTCTCTATATGTCCTGTACAGGTGTCTCTACATATGTCCTGTATATGTGTCCTGTACATGTGTCCTCTACAGGTGTCTCTACATTACATGTGTCCTCTACAGGTGTCTCTATATGTCCTGTACAGGTGTCTCTACATATGTCCTGTATATGTGTCCTGTACATGTGTCCTCTACAGGTGTCTCTACATTACATGTGTCCTCTACAGGTGTCTCTATATGTCCTGTACAGGTGTCTCTACATATGTCCTGTATATGTGTCCTGTACATGTGTCCTCTACAGGTGTCTCTACATTACATGTGTCCTCTACAGGTGTCTCTATATGTCCTGTACAGGTGTCTCTACATATGTCCTGTATATGTGTCCTGTACATGTGTCCTCTACAGGTGTCTCTACATTACATGTGTCCTCTACAGGTGTCTCTATATGTCCTGTACAGGTGTCTCTACATATGTCCTGTATAGGTGTCTCTACATGTGTCCTCTACAGGTGTCTCTACATGTCCTCTACAGTTGTCTTTACATGTCCTGTACAGGTGTCTCTACATGTCCTCTACAGGTGTCCTCCACAGGTGTTCTCTATATGTGTCCCTACAGGTGTCTCTACAGGTGTCCTCTACGGTGTCTCTACAGGTATCCTCTACAGGTGTCTTCTACATGTGTCCCTATATATGTCCTCTACAGGTATCTTCTACATGTGTCCCTACATATGTCCTCTACAGGTGTCTTCTACATGTGTCCCTACATATGTCCTCTACAGGTGTCCTTACAGGTGTCCTCCATAGGTGTCTCTACATATGTCCTCTACAGGTGTCTCTATAGGAGTCCTCTACAGGTGTCCTCTATGGGTGTCTCTACAGGTGTCCTCTATGGGTGTTTCTACAGGTGCCCTTGCAGGTGTCCTCACAGGTGCCCTCTATGGGTGTCCTCATGGGTGCCCTCTACAGGTGTCCTCCACAGGTGTCTCAGCAGGTGTCCTCCACAGGTGTCTCTACAGGTGCCCTCTACGGGTGTCTCTACAGGTGCCCTCTATGGGTGTCTCTACAGGTTCCCTCGCAGGTGTCCTCTACGGGTGTCTCTACAGGTGTCCTCGCCGATGTCCTCTATAGGTGTCTCTACAGGTGCCCTCGCAGGTGCCCTCTACAGGTGTCCGCAGACCCTGGAAATGTGTGAGACGCAGACCCAACCACAACTGGAGGCGGCTCTGTGATTCAACAGGCCCTCCAAGGGATTCTGGGACACATGGGTGACGGGGGTCCTGGCATCCTCAGAGAAAGACTGTCCCCCAGATACAGGCCCCAGGGGTTCGGTGGGGTGGGAGATGGGCATAGGTACCAATGTCTAGGGAATCCAGGGCTGCAGAGTGGCCCGGCCCATGGAGCTTGTGCCACGTTCCCTGGCTGGGTCCTGTCCTTCCAGCCACACCGAGCTCAGCACACAGGAAACTCTGGTCTGGAGACAGAGGGCCCTGCCTGGGGTTCTACCCACAGGTAGGGCTCCTGCTGGGCTGCTGGCGCTTCCTGCGGGGCCGTGGGGGTCCTCCCTCCTGCTCCACTTGTACACCGGGCAGCGCCGGAGGCTGGGCTCCTCCCGTGGGGAGGAATCTCAGCTGGCGCCATGATGGAGCCTAGAATGTCCTTGCAGAGAGGAAACGGGGTTTGTCTCAAGTTCTGATGTTGAATGCAGTCCTGAAACCTTTGGAATGTCCCATGCCAAGACGTTTTGCTCTCAATTTGATCTTGGGCTCGGACTCCCCGAGGAGGACCCTGGGATTCGGCGCGGCTGCCAGCAGGGCCTCAGAAGCCCTCAGTCCTCCAGCCGGGCATGAAATATTCAGTTTGACGGCCCAGGCAGGTGGCACTTCCTCCCTGGTCCCAGCCTGTATAAAAGGCTCCTGCGCCAGCAGCAGACCCCGTCCTCCTCTGACTGCAGGACGAGGCTGAGCCGAGGCGACCAGGTAACCCTGGGACAACAGGGACAACAGAGACAGCCCTCGGGTCAGGCAGGTGGGCAGTGCATGCGATTCCTGAGCCAGGAAAGGGAATCTGACGGCGGAGCGAGGGTCTCACCTTAGCATGGCCCCACAGAAATTGCTGTGAAAATATCGACGTCTTTTCACGGCCATCTCCCCAAGCGCCTTCACTTGGGCTGGCAGGAGACGATGCCTTGAAGGTGGGGCTCACCTGGGGGCTTCCTGCTGCAGGTGGCCCTGTGACTGGCTGTGCCTCGGAAGATGCATGCCTGCCTGATGCTGGGGCTGGGACTGTCTCTCTGCGTCCTGCTGGGGCCTGTGACAGGTGAGGGACAGACAGCCCTCCCACGTTGTCCCTGCCCGGCCAGCTGCAGTGCCCAGCGCTGCCTCTGCGGGTCTTGGGCGTCCTGGGTGACCACTCTGCCCTTCCTTTACAGGGGCCAAGCCACTGCCAGAAGATGGAGGTAGGGCCCTCCCACTTCCCCCATCCCCCTCCCCTTTGTAGAAATAACCTGTGTCCCGGTCAGGCAGGGCAGGGTGGGGAGGCGAGGCTCAGTGCCGCAGAGCCCTGGTTTCCAGCCTGCAGCAGTGCTCCAAGCCTCCCCAAGCCGGGGCTGCCCTCCACAACTTGGGAACCCCCGGCACCTGGCAGGTGGGAGCAGGCTCGACAGGGCCAGGGCCCTCAAGCCTGAGCCCAGATGTCCCCCGCCAGACTGGGTCAGTATGAGACACTCGGACCACAGCTGCCAAGATTTCCCTTCGGCCTGAATCCTAGTCTGGCCAGCAGGGGTGGCTGGTCTCCCCATGCTCTGGGACTGGGGTGTTATGTTCTCTGGAACCCCCCTGAGCTGCCTGTGCACCCAAACACCCACCACCCAGCTCCCTGCCCATGCGTATCCCTAACCAGGACAGGCCTCCCCTCCCTCTCCTTCATCTTCCTGACCTGGTGTCCCCAAGGGGCAGAGCCTGGGCTCCCATTGTCCCTGGGATGACCCTGGATGTCTCGGGCCCCACTCTGAGCCCAGCTGATCTCATCACTGCGAGCCCATCCACTTGTCCCCTGATGTCCCTGGAAGCAGGGCTTCTCCAGGAAGGACAGCAGGCAGCCCTAGGGGAAGGCCGTCTGCAGGGGCCAGCGGGCAGCCCTGAGGGGGGCCATCTGCAGGGGCCAGTGGGCGGCCCTGAGGCAGGTGTCCTGTTCTCTCAGACCCCTATGCTGAGCCGCCGGCCATGCCCTACTGGCCCTTCTCCACCTCGGACTTCTGGGACTACGTGCAGCACTTCCAGAGCCTGGGCGCCTACCCGCAGATTGAGGACCTGGCCCGCACCTTCTTCGCTCACTTCCCCCTGGGGAGCACCCTGGGTCTCCACGCCCCGTACCAGGAGGACTGAGCAAGGCGAGGCTGACCTGGCCCCGTCCGCCTGCACCCCCGCCTTGGGTAGGCGGGAGGTGGCCTCATGACCCACCTGCTTCAGGCTCAATAAACCTCTGCTGGGAGATGCACTTGGGCCTTGCAGGCTCTTTCAAGTCCCTGCCGTCTTTGGGGACGGGTGGCCTGGCTGCCTTCCGCTCACCAAGGAGCACCAGTAACTCCACACCTTCTGCCCACAGAGCGCCAGTGGCTCCCGTGTGTTGAGCAGGACTTGCTGCTGTCAGGTCACCTTGTCATCACACTCCCACGTAGACCCAGGAGGAGGGGAGGGGCTGCCAGCTCCCAGGTTATAGCTGAGGACACTGAGGCACAGACACCAGGTCACGGCCTGACCCACTAAAGTCACGTAGCTGGAGCCAGAGTGCAGGCAGGCGCTGGGCCTAGGCCCGGGCTGGGAGCAGCCGATGGTGTGGTCACCCCTGCGGGCTGCCAGTTGTGGGAGGCAGCGGGAACGAGGAATGGGAGGCCTGGGAGGCAGCCAGGGCCCTGCACTTGGTCTTTTGGGGGTGGCCTGGTTCGGGGCTGCGGGAGGAAGGGGGTACTGCCCAGGGAGGAAGGAGAGGCCGACAGCTCCCACACTGCGCTGGGACGGTCCTCCTGCAGCGGGCGGCCTCTGTACAGGGACCCTGCACTGGGTGTGTGCCAGCACCACGGCCTGCTCACACCTCACAGTGGTGAAGGGGCAATGGACACTCCTCTTGCCGCCACCAAACCATGGCCATGGGTCTGACCTTCGCCCAGGCCTCAGGGTGATGCCTCTGTGCCTCCCTCGTGCCTGGTCAGCACTCACTTCTCCCAGCACCCTGCATGTCCACACAGGTCCAGGCGCCCCCACCGTCCACGCAGGCCAGGCTGTCCCACCGTCCACACAGGCCAGGCTGCCCCACTGTCCACACAGGCCAGGCTCCCCCCACCACCCTCTTAGGCCAGGCTCCCCCAGTGTCCACGCAGGCCAGCTGTGCCCCCCACGGTCCACCTACCAGCTGGGCCATGCTTTTAGAGAAAGAATGTGAAGGGAGGGGGAAGGGGCCGGGATCCACATGGTCAGGGCCGACTTCCAGAAGACTCCCAGCTTGGACAGACTGGCGGTCTCCAACCAGCCCTCTGCTGCCTCAGGAAGCCCTGCTTAGCCAGGAGCCCTGCTGAGCCCCTCTAGCAAGAGCCTCCCACAGTGACCTGGCTTGGCCAGAGCCCCCTTCCCTGAGTCCAGCTGTGTAAGTTTCTGCCCGCTGCCCTGCCTCCACACTGCCGCCCTTCTGGGTTCAGAGCTGGCTCCCTGGCAGGCATTCCCACCCGGGCCCATGGCCCTGACGGTGTCTGTGCTTGGGCAAGCAGCCCCAGTCGGTCTTTCACTACCAGCGTGGGGAATGTGGGGTGGCGGCCGCCTGGCTCCAGCCACCTCCAGACCGCACCTTGCAAAGCTGACTGTCCCCATCAGACCCTAGCCCCCTGCCCGCTCCACTGGGCCAACGGGACTCCCCTGGGGACCTCCTTCCTTGACACTGCGTGAGCCCCGGCCCCCGGGTCCACCCACGCTGCAGCCCACGTCAGAAATTCCTTATGGTCTGGGCCAGTACCGCCCCGCTGCAAGGAGGGGCCCGCTTTGTCCCCACAGACGGCTGGCTCCCACCCCTGAGCTGGGGAGCTGGGGCTGCAGCACGGCTTCCCCTGCTGCCCCGCGTCGGTGTCGGCGCAGAGTGGGGCGCTGGCTACAGAAGTGCTGTTTCATTGGGGGACCGCCTTACTGGTCCCCCAGGCTGCACCACTTTGCCTTCCAACCAGCGGCGCAGAGGGCTCCGGTTCCCAGGCCTCGCCCGCGCACTTCCAGGCCACCAGGGCGCGCGGAGGGGTGTGAGGCTGCGAGTGGCCGTCCCCAGTGACGAGTGGCGCGGTCCGTCTTTTCGGTGCAGGTCGCGCAGCCGCACCGCCTTTGGACACGTGCGTGCAAGTCCTTGGCCCTCCTGCGTGGGGCGGCTCGCGGTGGCGTTTCAGGAGTGCTGCGCTCTGCAGCGAACCCTGACGTGTTTCTCCGCCTCCACTGCCTGTTCTCCAGGGACCCCTCGG